TAGGGGAGAAAGGAAAGGGGGGGGGGAGAAAGAGGAAGGATATGTTATGTTGAGTATCTTTCTTTTCGGGAGGGTGGGGAGAGAAGGAGGGAGGGAGGGAGGGAGGGAGGGAGATGTTGTGTTGGGTATCTCTCTCTTCTGGTTGTTGTTGGTGGTGGTGGTGGTTTTGTTGCTGTTTTGGTAAGTGTTTACAGTGCTCGCAAATGAATAGGGTTGTATGATGAACGCACAGGACACATCAAACTTGTTCACTTCAGTCGGACTAAATTTTGAATTTTGGCCTGCGTGACGGCCGAAGCCCACTGTTCTCGATTTGGGACCACCAAGAGATCTTTAACGTGCGCAGCTTGCACACGGGACCTCCGAGATTTTTCTCCCTTATCCGAGAAGGCTAGGAGTTAAATCTTACTTAACATAAGATCAGGGGTGTGGCTGAAAGACAGCAGTAAAAAGGAGTCAAGGGGTAGCAGTAGAAAGGCTGCAGAAAAGAGTCAGGAGCCAAGAGGAGGGGTCAAAGGGGGTGAGAGGACGACAGAACATTGTTAGAGAGAAGGAAATGATGTGAAAGGGGACATTTTTAGAGAAGGAAATTGTCCATCGCTGTCAGGTTTCGAAGCCGGAGCCTTTTAGGGAGGCGAACATCGCAATCTAGTGGTTGGCCTACCGGACTCGTAATCGTGAGGTTGCGGGGTCGGGGGTTCGAGCCGCGGGTCCGACGTTGTGTCCCTGGGAAAGACACTTTACACGACTTTTCCTCACTTCACCTAGGTGGGAATGGGTACCCGGCCGCAGACAGCGAAAGATCTTGTCAGTTTGTTATTTTTTTAGCGCCCATAAATGGCTGCTTGCTCTGTATGCTTCCCAGGAAGTTGAGTTTGTTTCAGAATGCTCTCAGATCTGCTGGGGTAATAGTATAGATTGTGAAGCGCATAGAGCTTGCTGTTGAGCGGGGATTTGCGCTATACAAATGCTATCTATTATCTATCGATTATTATCTCTAGACCACAAGATCCCCTGTGGTTTTTGTAGTTGTGGTAGTTGTTGTTGTTGCTGTTGCTGTTGCTGTTGTTGTTGTTGTTGTTGTTGCTGTTGCTGTTGTTGTCATCATCGCCGTCGCTTTAATTGCCATTAATGTTGTAGTCGCAGTTGCTGGTATACGTATTCATAAATTAGTCGCTGTTGTTTGGGTTCTTCCACTTTTGTTAGGTTTTTGTTGATGTTTTAAAATATTTATATTGCTTTTTTTAAGGGGGAGGGGGGTGGGAGTGGCCACAATAGCAGTCAGCTAACACAGTAACAACAGACAGATTCAAAAGACAAATAAAAGGGCAGATAGATAGACTTTATGTTTTGGCATGGATCAATTATACCGAGTGGCGTCGGTGGTCTAGTGGATAGGCTGCCGGGGTGGGAGGTTCGAGCCGCGGGCCCGACGTTGTGTCCTTGGAAAAGGCACTTTACACGAATTTTCCTCACTTCACCCAGGTGGGAATGGGTACCCGGCCATAGACAGCGAAAGATCTTGTCAGCTTGCACTGTTGTTGTTGCTGTTGTTGTTGTTGTTGTTGCTGTTGTTATTGCTGTTGCTGTTGCTGTTGCTGTTGTTGTTGTTGTTGTTGTTGTTGTTGTTGCTGTTGTTGTAATTAGATAGACGTTATGTTTTTGCATGGATCAATTATACCGAGTGGCGTCGGGGGCCTAGTGGTCAGGCTGCCGGACTCGTAATCGTGAGATCTCGGGTTCGGGGGTTTGAGCATCAGCTCGGTCCGATGTTGTGTCCTTAGGAAAGACACCATGTTTCAATTATATTTATGTACGTATATGCCTACAACTTTCGTTATTTTTCAGCTTCAATTCCATTGCGTGTCTATGAGCATTGCTGTTGACTCTTGTTTGCCCCTGTGACTTTTTTGATGACACATTGACACCTGTGATTTTTTGTATTGACACCTGTTACTTTGTATTGACACCTGTGCAGATAAAATGACACACCTAACATGGCTTGACAACTTACTAAGTGGGTGGCTGGAAGGTGCCATACGCAGGCTCTACTTCTCTTCTCTCTCTCTCCCCTCCTGTTGTTTCTGTCTACTTGTCTACAGTTCGCCCAGCACCCACTATCATCATATATATATATATTCCCTCAGTCACCAGATTGTTCAAGCTTTCAATATGTGTCATGACACGGTGGAATCAGGCGCTCGTCAATTTTGGGGCATGTAGAGTTATTGGTATCATCTGGAGGCTTATTCATTTGCCTTGTTTTCTGTGAAAAAATTGCACATCTATTTTGAGTAGAAGTTGAGGTATTTGCCATTGCAGAAAGCTGGGTAGCATGGTTTCAGCGGTAAAATTAGAGTGGAAATGGCCGCCAGTTTGGTAACTTCTATAGCTTGAGAGTCCTTGAAAACTGACAATTTGGATATTTTGTGTCATTAATCAACGTTTTTCAGTAAAATTCACTCAAAAATGTGTTTTTATACGGACATACAATGTGATGAGCCAAAAAAGAAAAATTCCATGAAAATTGCCAAACTGGAGGAAAAATGCCTGTTTCTTCGATCTCATTATTTTGACGAGCGCCTGATTTCACCATGATGCCTCACATATAACAGTAGCGTCCAAAGGAAACTCGAAAATGTACTCTCCAAATCATCGTGTTAAAGCCTTGCATCACCTACTCATGCAGCATACCAATTTAAAGCTAAATGAATTCTACATCATCTGACACAGTAATATACCATTTATGTTAAGAGACGCCCGAGATATGGTCACTCAAAACTGACCTTTAAAAAAAAAACAGGCTTGCCGAAGTTGTGCAAAATCAAAGAAACGTAAAATTGTCTTCGCGCCTGTATTGAGGAGCATCAGTATTGATAGAATATCAAATGAACTGAGCATTTTTGTATTGCAATAAACAATATTAATATGCAATGTTGATATTTTGTAACGATAGTTTCAAAGAAATCGGATAACAGAGCAGTCTCAAATGCCATGCAAAACTTGGACTAAACCTTAAATGTGCTCATTGTTATGTTGCTTAGGAGCCCTTAGTTTTGTGTAGTTCACGAACCCTTTGGGCATCAATTCTATGAAAATTTGGACATAATTATCTGTCAATTCATCCCAAATATCACAGAGAGTTGAAGCAAAGGGTCTGAATAGGGAGGAAAGTCGCTTTTTCTTCCGCTGCTGTTTCATGGTACTTCAGTCTGTACATACCTGTAGGATTCATAGCTAGCTGGGCTCTTTACTGGTAACTACTCTCACGTTGATTTAATAATAATAATAATGATA